GTATGGTGTCTTTCTATCTCGGTAGTGAAATCCTTTGAATTGAAAAACAATGTAAAAACCAATTCAGTTTTATACCTAAAAAACAATGATAAACAATATTAAGACCATTCCTCTTTGGTGCCAACTCAAACAATTGGAGGTCCCAGGTCTGAGCTATTGGACCCATCAATTACTCCAAAGGTATGCTTCACTAATTGTAGGTTCTTGAATTGATAATTCTATAAGATTTCATACAGAAGATGGTTATTTCTTTTTGTCTTTTAATTGTTGATTATTTTGTATTCTGATTGTTACTTAATTTGTGTATGCGAAAAAAAATAAAAAATATATTTAATTTTTTTAAAAAAAAAAACATTACTCCAAAGGCGTTGAACTCATTTGTTAGGAGGGCCAGATCTGACATAAATGTCACTTCGTTGGGCCGGGCCATGCATGCTATAAAATGTAGCATGAGATACCAGAGATATAAACTTTATAAAGGTGATTTCAGATGCTGAATGGCAATAGCAGGTGAATGACAATAGCAGGCTTGATTGGATTAGGTGTGATATGCAAAGGGATAGTAGCCGTGGAGATACCAGAGTTGGTAATGAGTCAGGAAACCTGGGTCTCAATTCCATCTAGGAGGATTCAGTCCAGGAGGATGCAAAGAACAAGTGGATATAAGTGTGATATTAGAAACCACAACATTCAGTTGCTGACCTAAGAGTAGCAGTGTTCTTACAAAGGAATTTCAAAGGGAGATTAGAAAGAGAGACTGCTGAGTTGAAATTGATAATGAAGCTCAAGACAATGCATCCTCCTGGACTGAACTGAGACCTAGTTTTCCTGTTTATTACCAATATGTTCCAATATCATTTGGCATCTGAAATCACTCCACTCTCCAAGATATAAGGACCAAACCAAGTGTTCAATTCCTAATCAGGGCCTTTTTGAAAGAAAATAGGAACAGAGAAATCCCAATAAAAAAAAACTTTTAAGAATAAACCAAAATAATTTCTTCATTGTACATTGTGCTTGTCAGAATAATCCACCCACTCCCTCCCTCCCACGAAAGCTGGTAGGGTTGCCAAATCGGGACGGGGGACGGGGAACCCCCCGCTTCCGCGGCCCGATTTCCGCCGCAGGGGAATTCCGGCCCGGGGGAACCCCGCCCCCCAAGCTGCGTCACCATATGGTTTTCCCCTCCGACGAGCTCAGCCACGCCCCCAACGTCAGCACGTCGCCCGTCACTTCCGGCGACGTGCTGCCGATGTGCTGCTGGACCGCGGCGACGCTCCCCCGCCACGGGGGGGAGAAGATTTGGCAACCCTAAGAGCTGGTTTGGTGTAGTGGTTAATTGCATGGGCTGAGGGAGCTGGGGGTGGAAAGCAAACTAGGGTGCAGCAATAGCCTTGGAAAGGAAGCAGGAGAAGGAAGTTGCTGGGGGGCAGTTTTGAGCCCTGTGTGGGCCTGATCCAGCCTGCAGGCCACATGTTTGACATCCCTGCCTTAATCAGTATTTTCTGGCTAGTGCTGTGCAGTGACATTGGGTGGTGGTGATGCTGTGAGTTTCCTCTCTTTGAAAGATGGCGAAGCAGATTCTAACCTCTTCTCTTGAGGTAGAGAGTCCTTGTGCCCAGTTATAGGAAACTGAGAGGGCTCTGTTTTCATGTGAGCTGGATGGCTGTGATAGGGGTTTGCCTTCTGTACTTACAAAAGTCTCCCGGACTCCTTTAAGTACTCTCACAGATATCCCAAACCCCCAGACTGAAAAATGCTGATCTAGAATATTCACTCACCAGCTGGATGCACATGCAATTTTTTTAAAATTATATTTTACTTGTCAGGCATATTGTTCCTACTCTTCGTTGAAGGAACTCAGGGTGGTTACTTAATTTCCCTTCCTCATTTTATCCTCACAACAACCCGGTGAGATCAACTAAGCTGAGAGTTGAAAGAGTCCAAGATCACCTGTCAAGTTTCATGACAAAGTGAGGGTTTGAACTCTAATCTTGTGACTCCTAGGGTGCGTTCAGATGGGGCATTTATGCCGGTATAGATGCCAGTTGGAATCGGTTTACTTACAGGCGATCACATGGCGAACATCTGCCTTCCGTCCCTAACCGTTGCAAATGACTTTAAACCGTTGTATTTTGCTTCTAGGTCCCCAAGTGGTGGTATCCTGAGTGCACTGGTTCAAACCGCATTATCCCCGTCTGATCGCTCTCCGCCGTTGTCTAGCCACTTCCATTTGGAAGCCCAAGGCTTCCGCTTTTCGGCCGACTTTTTTTTTTAAGTCTCCTCAATGTGCGCTTGGGTGAAGCTTCACCCCGGCGTTTGTATTAAAAAAAAAAAGGCCTAGTGTAAGGCTTTAGATGAGTCTGGGACCTCATGGAGGCCAGTTTCAGAGTAAAAATTTAAAGGGACATCTTCAGTTCAAGGCATGCTTTCTGGTTTGGGTTGTTCTGCGCCTGCGCAAAGATCTTCATTATAAGGAAGCCTGCCTATGCGCATGCACAAACTGTGTAAAAATAAAAAAAACCCGCTGACGCGATCTGCTCAGCGCCTGAAGTGTGGACGGGCATATTGCGGTGTGCTGCGCAGTCAGGAGGTAAGTGTGATTGCATTTCTTCCAGATCAAACTGCTCCAGTTCCAACCGGAGCAGTTTATGCCGGCTAAAATGCCCCATCTGAACGCACCCCTAGTGTGATACTGTTAAACCTAGTGGATTGCATTAGCTCTCCATGATTTTAACTTGCCTTTCTTTCATTATGAAATTAGTTAGGTTTTCATGCGGTCTCTCATCCAGGTATTGGCTAAATTCAGATGTGTAAATTCAGCAAGGGTGCTGCATCATTTGCCTTCCAGCTCTACTTTTCCATATATTTTTCACACCCCTTTCCATGTGCCCACACACAACACACTCTCATACACCTTTCCATTCCCACAGCCCAAGAAATACTTATATTTCATAAGTGATTACCTGCCAAGCCCATTATTCGTGGTTACTGTTGGTCTTCCGTTGAGCTTGTGACATGTGCTGAAAGTTAATGGAGGGTGCTTTTTCTTTGCAGGAGGTATAGGCAGCATCTGGTCCTGCAAAAGCCCGATGGGAAGGGTACAGTTCCTTTTCTCTACCGAAAAGTGGGGAGGAGGATCTCTTCTTCCACTTTCACAACCATTTATTTTACTGACAGAACATACAGGCCTCAGCTGCAAATCAGTTCCCATGGTAAAAAATACATACCACAATAGTGAAGAAATTTTCAGTAGGTGACCATTAGGTGAGCAGCTGGTTTGTGTTAATGGATTCAAGCAGGGAAGATGATTAGAAGAGTTGTGGTCTTTCACTTTTGGGACAGAGTGTATCTGACCGCTTCCCAGTTTCTCTGGCTGTATTCTGTGTTGGCTGTGTGTGTTTGCATCCCTTTTTCGGGAGTTGCAGTGTGTGTCATGCACCAAGTTGCTTCCAACTTATGGTAACCTTATGAATTAATGACATCCAAAACATTGTATCATTAATAGCTTTTCTCAAGTTTTGCAAACTGAAGGCCATGGCTTCTTTTACTGACTCAATCCATCTCATGTTGGGTCTTTCTCTTCAACTTTTCCTAGCATTATTGTCTTTTCCAGTGAGTCTTGTCTTCTCATGAGGTGACCAAAAGTATAATAGCCTCAGTTTAGTCAGTTTCTAGGGAGAATTCAGGCTTGATTTGATCTGGTAGTGGTGCAAAGATTTGATCTAGAACCCACTTATTTGTCTGTTTGGTAGTCCATAGTCTGTGAAATTGTGCTCCAACAACAAATTTCAAATGAATCCATTTTCTTCTTTCAGCTTTCTTCATTATACAGCTTTTACATCCATATATAGAAATGGGGAATACCATAGTATGAATTATCTTGATTTTGCTCTCCAGTAACACTTCCTGTCCTATAACATACAAAACAATTTGTCAAAATGTTTTCCATTCCTAAATTATGGTTTAAATGATAGCTGAGCATTTGAATGTGCATCACTCATTGGGGGTCAGTATTCTCAAATATTCAGAACACTTCAGAAATTCACTTGAAAAATTACAATGAAAAATGTTGACGGCAACCACAGGTTGTAAAAGAACAGTGATTAGGAAAGAATACTAAAGATATTAGAGAACAGAAAAAATTAATCTCATAATGCAGCTCCTGCAGAAAACTGACCAAGATACCATGACTTCAGCTGAACATTTGTATTAGATGAGGTATGTTGCTTCCAGTGGTTCTCATCCTGTGGGTCGCGACCCCTTTGGGGGTCGAACGACCCTTTCACAGGGGTCGCCTAAGACCATTGGAAAACACAAATTTTCGATGGTCTTATGATAGCAACAAAAATAATTTTATGGTTGGGGGTCACCACAACATGAGGAACTGTATTAAAGCGTCGTGGCATTAGGAAGGTTGAGAACCACTGTTCTAGATGAAGTTATCTTACTTTTTAGGGGTGTTACTTTCTTCTTTCCCCTTCCTTGAGGACAAGATGATTCTGAGGTAGCCTTTGAAGAAGAGAGAAACCACTGCAGCTAGAATCACTGGAGGATAAGTGGTGGACTGTTCATAAGATGTTCTGTCTTTCCTACCCTGAATGAAGACATAAAAGTATCTTTGTAGAGCAAGGGTCATGGCAACTGTTTACACCCATCAAGTACTTTTAGAAAGTGGGTGGGGTCTAGTGGAGTTTCTACCCAGCAAGATTTATAATTGGCCATAGGAGATTTGATTGGCTGTGTACTTTTTCAAAAAAAAATGTTGCTTTGGCAGTAGCTGACACCACTGTACATGGATCTTCACTGTGTAACTGAAAGTAAGCTGCAGCAGCCATTTTGTGATAATCATTTTGTGGGTGTGCATACCATGCTGTGTCACAATTCCAAATGTGCCCACAGACTCAAAAAGTATGGGGACCCCTGTCATAGAAGATCCCCCCCTCCAATTTTAAACCTTATCAGACCTGTCTTTCTGTGCCCTACTAAAGCCTACCGTCATGATGCTTCAGAAGCTTAGTGTACCAGGCAGGTAAGTCACACAAGGATTACCTCATGTGACTTACTAACCTCATGTGACTTACTTACAGGTCACTCCGCCACAAGCCTGCATCAAAGTTGTGCTTGGAGAGGGGGGGGGGGAAATATCACTGTGCTTTGCACAGAAAAATCAGGTTAAACACATTTGCCAAATTGTGTTGATCAGAATTACCTTGATGATGGCTAAGGGTCCCAGGAGCTTGCAGGTATACATTTCACATGTAGTGTAACACATGCCAGAGAGTTGTATAAAATCATAACAGAACATTTCAGAATGTCTAAATAATAGAAGGTACATATTGTTTGAATGACTAACCATTCAAAATATTCAGTTCAAGTCACTTGACACTAATTTTCTTGGTCAAATTGTTTTTTTTTTTTAAGTCTGCTATGACAAGCAGTTTAGTAAGTACCTTTGCAAAAAGAGCCTGATTTGATGGGTCGTCGCATAAGCTACTTGACATTTGTCCCCAGTCAGACCGGATGCCACATGAAAAATTTACTCTGAAAAGGGCTCCCAGGAATAAACAGTTCTCTAGTGCTGCTCACAAGGGAATCAGCAAGGTGAGCGGAACTTCAACTTGTCACGGATGCACTGTTCTGACAAACATAAGTAGATGCTAATGGCTGAATCGTGACAGAATAAAGTCCCACAACCATATGGCTAATTGCCACAACAATATCTTCAGTGTTATTAATCAAGTTTTCATAGTGTGCCATGATAATTGGAATAATTAGAAGCAGCATAGGCATTGCTTGCCTCTCTCTTTCTCTCAAATACGCACATATACTCTCTCACACAAACAGGAGACAGTGATGTGAAAGAACTGCAATTTCTCTGCGGTATTATTTAGTGCATGTTTTCTAGCAAATATGGTAGTTAATTACTGAATTACCTGTTTATCATCAGAACCTTTGATTGCCAGCAGGGTTTCTGTAGGAGCATGTAGGCAAGACATCTAAATAATACCATCCTTTTTCTTCTTGTAAATTCTGAATTCAAAACTATGCAACATTAATCTCTGCCAGTTATAGGCAATATACTTCAGAACAGTTGGAAATATTTACAGTTTGTGCATGAGTTTCCAAAACATAATTTTAATGTAAAATAGAATAAAATCATTTCATAGTAAAAAGTAAAGGTAAAGGTTTCCCTACAACCCTTCTTTCTCTTATTTTTAATAAGCAGTATAAACAACTGTATGGGCATGAAGTTTTGTTGCTAAATTAGCAAACTGTAATATTGTAATTGAATTCAAATGGTAATCTGTAGAAAATGTTTTAACAGTCTTTAATTTCCTGCTAAAGACATTAAAAATCCGTATACCAAATCTATTGTTATAGTTCCTAAATACAACATATCAAAAAGGTTCTGTACTGCGATATTTCAGGAACCCCAAAATTATGCTCCACCTCTGAACTAAGAATGTAAATAAAGCAAGAATAGCACTTTTGCTTAGCTGAGCAGCTAAATCATCAGCTTTGTGCATTTCCAACTGGACTAGTTGTTTACTGGGCTCTCTTTGGAACTGTGTAAGCAATGAGAAAACACCAGTATTTCCTGGGTATGTGCATAAACAATTAGTCAACTGGTCAGTATAACTGGAAGATTGATGATAATGACTCCCTTTGTGAATGTATGAAGGCATTTAGCCAAACTAATGGATTGAAATGGACTGCTGTCTGTGGCCTTTGAAGGGCAGCTTAATTTAGTTTTAGAGCTTACAATGGACATAAGATGAAATATTGTGATGACATAAATCTTTCCTATTTCTGCTTTTTTTTAAAAAAAAGTTGGCTCTTCTTGACTTGAGAACTTGTAGAAAAATATATTTTCAAATGTTCTACACTTCATTACAAGTTGGCCTCAGCTACTTAAGTCATAACCAGATTTGACTGAAGTTCATCGGCTGTTTTGTTTGTTGAGGTCTATTGAAAATTAAATACTGATTTAGTAAAATAGTCACCTGTGGGAGAATTTTGTTGGGTTTTGATGTTCTAAAGAGTCATTTTAATTAGATTAATGAAAAATTCCGGTTACACACACCCCCCATCTGCTACAAAGAAGATGACTGGAGGGGCATGATAGAGGTTTATAAATTTATACACATGGTGGGAAGAGTGGACATAGATAACTTTGTCTCACCAGTAATACTAAAACTGAAGGATACCCAGTTAAGTTCATTGACAGTAGATTCAGGACAGACAATAAAACCTTATTTATTCAATGAGTAATTAAGTTGAGGGATTCCTTGCCAATGGATGGAGTGATAGCCGTTTGCATAGAAGGCTTTAAAAAGGGATTAGACAAATTCGTGGAAGGTCCATCAGTAGCTACTAGCCATGACAACTAAACTAAAACTTCACATCTAGAGGCAGTAAAGCCCTGAAGACTTGTATGCTAGGAGGCAACATTAGGGGATGCCTTGACATCTGTGCCTTTTGTGGTGGCTCTCTGGGGCAGTGGATTTGTCGTTGTGAGAAAGAGAATCATAGGCCGAGTTCAGACTGGCAATTTGAAGCACTAGGGAGTTGTGGCAAAGAAAAAATGGAATAGACCTGGAACGGCTTGTTCCCAGTATTTCCATTCACACTGCAGTGAATGAAGCGGGAGGATACCGTGGAGGAAGCACGAGGGAGCGTTCGTACTGTCGCCCGCCCCTGGCGGGCTGTTAGCATGGTTTCCGTATTCGGCTGCGTGCGCCTATGCGCATGGGCACACTTGGCATGCCGGAGCATTCCAGTCGTGCACATGTGCGCACATGCACCTGCCGCGGAACCAGCTGGCACCTATTATCAACTGCGGGTTGTTCCCGCCTTAGCAGTGCTTGGGTTCACACTCAGGGAACCGGAATCAACACGCTGCATACAGGGTTTGCTACCACTTTAACATGGTATCTTTTAAACTCGGGAGGGAAGTGGCACAAGACGGCTTGAGTACGGCTGGGGGACGCCTGAAACATGTGGCTGTGTTAACCTGCCCCTTTAATCTGCTACTGAAACGCTTCTCAAATGTTTGCATGCCGGGCCAAACTGCTAGTCTGAACGCGGCCATAGACTAAATCCAACAGAGCTCTTCTTATGTAAAAGAAATTGGGGGGGGGGCACACCAAGGCAAAATGAAGAAAAAGAAACAGAATGGTGCAGAGGGAATGGAATATTTGACAGTTAAACAACCTTTACACGTTTTGTATACAGCTTTGTCAGGGGGAATCTTTCAGATTCTTTTTTGTACCATTCCCATACATATTTTTGACTTTGCTCCAGTGTATGTATGGGAACGGTACAAAAAAGAATCTGAAAGATTCCCCCTGACAAAGCTGTATGTGAAACATGTAGGGGTTGTATAACTATTAAATATTCCATGTACACCGTTTTGTTTCTTCTTCTTCCTTATGCAAAAGCAGCCATGATAGAAGTGAAGGTAAGAAGCTGACGGTGGAGTTCTTCCATTCATCTTCATAGCCTTCTGACTATTGCAAGAAGCTATGCCTGTTCCTTTCTGCTTAGCTCTAACATGGATTCTGTTTCTTGGTTACACTAAAATGTGACCAAACACTGGAATAATGTTTCAAAATTTCAAGATATGCAGGATCTGCTTGAATTGCTTTATAAATCAAAATGATTACTATTATCAGTACAAAATCCAGAATATAGAGTCTCTTGGGTGAGGGGTACATGCTTTCTAAATGTCAGAGAAATTGGATACAAGATGGCTGCATGGTATCATTGTTGGAAATCGGAAGCAGAAGGATGCTGAGTGCTTCATACCATCTATGTTTATGTGGGAAACATGTGTGTACCTGAAGATGCAGGTGTTTTCTAAAATTCAGGCATGTCACTAAATGTGCCTCTTGCTTAATTCTTGAAAATCTGTTGTGTATTGTGAACGTTATATTTCTTGATTCCCATGTTTTTCAGTGGACAGATATGTAAATAGTACATAAAACATGCACAAACAGTAGCATGTATTAAGGAGTACAGTGGAGTACAAAATAAGTTTGTTTACTACAAGTAGTAAATAATCTACTCTTTCAAACATTTTTCCTTGATAGCACTTCCTGGCTGACGTCATCTGTGGTTCAACTGGTACGAAACATGTAAATTTGGAAATTTTGTCACTCATTCGTAGTGTACTCAGTACAGCAGGGATGATGCCATTAGGGACTCCACAGGCAGTTCTTTCTAGGTTTCTTATGTGGTCTTAAGATTAATTACTGGGCAGGCAGTGGCAAAATGCTGGCCCATGAGGGGAAATGGGCTTGGTGGAGGACCAAAGGAAAGGGCATACTTTTCCTCTCTGCTTAATTCTTCCTACTGTTTCTGTTGACATTAAGATACAATACTACTTTTCAGTCTTTATGTGTACATTGAGGAAAGGGAAGTTGAGCATCATAAGTCAGCTTGAAAGAGCAAAAACCTAAATATAAGTCCAACGTATTGAATGTTCTTAACTTATTAATTTAAATTGAAATGTATTTTAAGTGCCAGATGCCCAAGTGCTTTAATCCAAGCTGTAAGTTTAAAGGTAACCACAAACTGACATTCCATCCAATACAGATTAGATCTGTCTAATGGAGCATTATCTGACAAGCCAGTTTTTACACTTCACAAACATAAAATCACAACCTTGTTAGTGGCAGTAATAATGTTTCATCAGCTATGGGTACGGTAACGTAAGTGGCCTCTGAACAATTGCAGGAATGACAATAATGTTGAAGTGGAAATGTGTCCTTCTGAATTTCTTTGCAATGGTAGCATCGGAGAAGGGCTCAGATGGGGGGTGGCAGGGCCTGCAATCAACGTTGTGCTAAAGTATATCATTGAAGTATATTCATTCACTCTGTAAAATTTTCTATCCTTGGGAAACTTAACTCATGTTTTCTAGTAATTTTTGAAATTATTTTAAATCCTTAGCAATGCTATGTGCCCCAAAACTATAAATTTAAGACACCTAATATGTTTTTGTTTAAAAAATGGGAGTATGGGAAG